TAGTGTGTGTGTGTGTGTGTGTGTGTGTGTGTGTGTGTGTGTGTGTGTGTGTGTTTGATATAGTTATGTTAGATTATTGGAATATATTTTAATGTGACAATTATCTCTTTGAAATTACTCTGATAGACCTTTCATCTGTAATATATAAACAGGCACTCACACATACACGCTAATTAATATGGCTAAGTATGTAAGTACAGTCATGGCCGCTTCTTAAAATATATATAACGACGATTGTTCGAGTCTTTATTGCGCGTTGGACACTTAAGCTAGGCATAAGCTAAATTACTTTGTACGTTGTTCTCGTTTGTGGCACGGATCTCGTCAGACGGACGTTTCCGCATTAGTATCCTTCCTGCAACAGCGACAATTTGCGATTAGATCCGATCTGGTTGAAGGATATCGTGACACGGAAACAATTAGCGACAGAGACAATCGTTACGTTTTGCAGGGCGATTTATAAATTTATATCGTCATGCGCGCTTACCTCCTCGCTGATGGTTTAACAGTCGTCATGGCAAGCACGGATCACAGAAAAGATATAGTTATGTTAGAATGTTCCAACGCCACCTTTTGTGCATACAGCAAGGAGAAACACGGAAAAAACCAAAGAAAATCAGAATGAATTAAAACGAGCGTTACGAAATGGCGCTAAAAGAGAAACACTGTAATTTAAGTATGTTAGCTCCACTGTCGCCCATCTTTTTTTATATACGCTGGATGTGACGTACTTGTATTATCTTTTGTAAATTGTTTTATATGTTAATGAATGTAGGAACTTCTTGAATAATCGTTTATATAAAGCTTTCTATTTTTATTCAAACGTGACTACGTGGTTTTATTTTTACAATTTTATTAATCTTAAACTTTCATTACAACTCCATTTTCTATTAATTACTGCAGTTACAGATTATTCCGAATCACATTCACTTTAAGATTCAATTCATGAATCTTTTAGTTGTTAATTAAATAACAAAAAAGCTCATAATAAAAACAATTTAAAATCTTTCTCTGTCATTTTCACACTTTTAATTCAAACATCAAATCCATCGTATAAAAAGCTTGTTCAAATCTTTAATCTAGATCTATTAAGAAAAGTCATCTGCGATACCCGATTAAAAAATAAATCTTTTGAACCCAAGCGTGAGATATTACTCACTCAGTTTCAGTGATAGTTTGCTCATATTGCTGTTGTTGCTGTTGCTGCCTGATTGCCGCTAACTCGTTGCTATGCTGTAGATCGTGAGTCAACGAGCTCGATAATATCCTGCCGCTCATCGGCAGGATGTAGTCAGGCCTATCGTCCAAGACCGAGGGGTTGCCTATTTTGCCGCGTTTCAGGCTGCCGTATCTTTCGGAACTATTGAGATTGTCGTGTTGAGAACCGTGCAAGCTCTGACCACGTTTCAGGCTGCCATAACGCTGTTCGGAACCGCTTAGATTCTCATGATTCGAATTCTGCGAGTGATGACTCATGCTAGATGCGAGAATGCGCGACGACATGGACAACATGTACGGAGTAGGCGACACCGTATGGTCTTCTTCGGCAGTATAAGGAAACAGGTACTTCTCACCCAGATGGTGCACCTTCTCCTCACCCTCCGAGTAATTCTCATCTGGCTGATTCTTTTGTGGCGAACTCATCTCTGGATACGGCAGCGGATTTGGGCTCGAGGTTTTATTCGAGGCCATTTCGTTATCTGACATAGTGCCGCCGGACCATTGACTGCCTCGCACGTCCATCACTACGACGAATAATATTGTTTATTATAATTATTATAATCTCGGAAATTATATCATAGTCTTGCAATATATTTTTCGCTTTTTATTTTTAATCTGTAATTTGCGTCTCACCATTTGATGACAAGTATGCTTCTGGCAATTGAGAACTCCATCGAGGAGCGTAAATAGGTTTGATGTTGGGAAACAGTTCGGCATTCGAACAAAGTATGTTCAAATGTTCAGCGGGATTGGTGTGGATGTTGGGCAGGTAGCTGTGGGCGACGTGCTGCTGCGTGGATACTCCCATATTTCTATGTGACCTCGATGTGACGTCATCCTCATCGGAACTATGCGAACTGGCAAGATCCAAACTCCTACCGCCTCCTTCAGCTTGTGAACCGTCGGAATCTGATTCTGATTCTCTGCGCTGACCTCTTGTTTCTGTAGATTCTGTTAAATATTGCAATGGAATATTTTTCCTTGTTTAATCTATATTATCAATTAAAATATTTTTTTTACATTGTCGAATGAAAATAATTTAGGAAGCAAATCAAGTTGCAAATAAAATGCTAATAATAAATTTTTCCGTCAACTGTTTTTAAAAGTTGTACCTTGTCGAGAATTTAATGCTGATCGATGACTCCTCGACGGCAAATACGGATCTCGATCGCTATTGTAGTTGCTCGTGGACGTTGATGTATGTCTCAAGTGCGTATCGCTACGATAAGGACTCGAGCCTGTTTTATTTGTACTTCTTGATGTTGTGCTGCTCGTGGACACGCCAACATGGACTCTTTTACATACGGACTCTGCTCCGCCATAGGTTGAAGAATAAGCTAGTGCTGAACGCTGAAATAGAATATCAATGTAACAAATAATTAATTAGATGCATGATATTATCATATGTATTTGATTCTTCAAATAAATACCAACATTGCATTTAATTTCATTATCTTTACTTGACAATTTTTGATCGATCAGTAAACTTAAAATCACGTTTACCGAATGGCCGTTTACGTTCTGACTGCTACTTCCGTTGCCCATGCTTCCTTCCAGTAAAGATGTTTTTTTGCCGATACACCTTAACAGACTCTGATACAAATTTCTTCTCACTCTGCCGTTAATGAAACAATAGCCGATTAAACTGAACGACGCGTGAATCACGATAGCGACACTCAGTAAGTATGATAGCGTCGACGAGTTTTCCGATGCATTCAGAACTGCTAGAGTCCACATCGATCCTAGCAAGGGTAGCGAAGCCACAGAAAGCCATAGAAGCGTTCGCAGATTTCCAAAGCCCATAATGTGTTCTTTCAAAGTAAACGCTGCGCGAATACACATCACGAGAATGCAAAAATTCACTAGTACGGCCACGCAAACGGGTCCTATTAGCGACCAGATCACAGTTTCATAGATGGATAGCCAGCAGCTGGAAGATGAATTAAAAATTTATGTAAATTTACGTAAGAAATCATAAAAAAATCATTTCCGATTTAATTTCAAGTTTTAATTCATTTATTTGTCTGAAAATATAACTTTTAATATTATAATAATAGATTATTAAGATCAACCTACAAATAGAAATTTCCATATTGATCGGCCCTGACGCCGATAGTAAGTCCAACAATGACAGCTGGCAAACCGTATCCCATAGTGTAATAAAATCTCATTTGGCCGTGGTTCACATCTCTCATTTCTGTCAGCATCCGATAAAGATGAACAGAATCTACGAGAGTCCAGGCAAAGGTGCTCAACCAAGCGTAATGAAGTCCTATCGCCGTGAGTTTGCATGGAAATTCATTGGAAATAAGAGGACTTCTAGCCTTGAGTGCAATTAGGTACAAGATTTCCGCCACAAAAACGCATAGCACCAAATTTTTATGAATGCTGTTGGAGTTGGTGCCTCCGCCGCGGATTAGCGCCAATATTAGGAGAGCGGATAATAACAGTGGCAAGGCAAGCATAAATGCGCTGTAACTGGTTACATCCTCCAGCAAGGATGGCTCGGGAACATATTCGAGATCGAGGACATCCGTCAATATAGCAAAGGTGGATAATTGCATGCAAGAACAGTTTACAATAGTGCCAAAAGACAGAGAATTATCCTCGATTTCTGTAGTGCAGCCCATTCGACTCCATTCGCCGACTCTGAAATTCATTAATTAAAAAGAAATTTTTTTTATTTAAGTGAATTTACATGAAATTTTAATTAAAATAAATAAGATAAATTTGAAATTTTTCTATTAAAAAAACTGTTAAATAAATCTATTAATTATATTAGTTTTTTTTTATAAAGAATTAGGAATTTTTAATTCGTGAGAAAATTTTTAATTCATAAGGAATCAATTAATTATTATTTTTTACCCTCTTGCCGTACTCCAATGAACGCATTGTGGATTCGTTCTGGTCTTGAAATCATTATTTTCATTAAGCCAAAGTCTGACTTGAACCGGCGATTGCAATGGAATTCCTGTCAAGGATTCGTAACCGTTATCTGACGGAACTAACACCGAAACGGTCATTACAGGCGATCCAACTGCTACTTCTACTCCCCATCTAATTGCCACCGAATCATCGAATCTGTAATTCAAATATGATGGTTTGACTAGTATCACCAAACAAGTTATATTTCTCAGTTTATCTTTTTAAGAAACATTTCAAGTTTTATAAAAATAAATAATTAACTGTCATTATATTAAGATAATAATTAATTGATATGAGCAACGTAACATACCTCTGTGGTAAGAGAGAGCCAAGTTCTTTATACTGCACATAACTCAACACTGCTTTCCGATTATTCAGGCTGTTCTTGACATTTAGCTCACCCTGCATAAGAGGTTTGATACCTAATGTATTGAGTGGCATCTGGATCTTTGAGTGTGGATCGAATCTATTAGGATCAGCCATGTAGTTGTTGTATTTTGGAAAGCTAATGGATGGACCAAAATGCGTTGAAGAGCTGAGAAAGGCGGAAGTGTCGGGCAAAACGACCTTTCGATCGGCTTCCGTTGGTCTTGCTGTTGATAAGGTGAGATCTTCCTTATATTCGGCGGCTTCGTAGCCAAAGAGACTCTCTGATGTTACGATGTCTAAACCTAATACTAAAATATGAGATATATAATATAATTAGAAAAATAATTTTGAAATGTATTTTCTAGATTATTATTTAATTAAATTTTATTATAGTCATAAACTGTCATACAGATCGTTCTATAAAGAGAAAGAATTAAAATAACAATATCTAAAAATTACAAAGTTATAATATTCAAAAGTATCGAATAATTTATAATAATTTTATAATAAATTATTTTAATAATTAAGATAATTAAATTGGAAAAATAGATAACTCACCAACATTATTGTCGACTACTTCAAAGGGATTGGTGAAAGTGTCATGTTGAGATGCAGTTAAAGTCTTCAGATATTTTGCCATAGCGTCCAGAATCTTATCAGGACTATCTCCGTTGAGCTCTCCTATTTTTTCCCATTTCTCTTTGTACTTGGATCGTAAAATCGCTCCAGCTATACCGACCAAATGAGAGACGTAATCTTTGTCCTGGCTGTGAGTTAAATTCAGACCTACTAGACTTTCTTCGTAACGCAGCAACGCCACCAATAAAGATTCCGCTACTAAAAGATCTGCTCCATACATTTCTCTTGTAATATTCACTGCCCTGTGAATATCCTTCGCCATCTTCACAGCCACGTATGTATTTAGAGTAAGATCTTTGGTCTCCAAAGCCGCTAGTTGATGTCGATGCTCGACGAAGACTTCCGATGTACAGTTAAAGAGATCGGGTGATTGCCAACCGCCAAGCTTATCGTCGCAGGATCTTGAAGTCTTGCCTTCGGCGGTGCCAGGACAATCCTCGACGGCTGTCATTCCAAAGAGAGTCCGCGGCCACCATAAACCATCCGAATATGATCTGGGACATCCATCGTAGACTACTTCACAACCTCTCAGAGTTACCTGTAATGTATTAAATAAATATCGAGATTTTAATTAATTTCACTAAGGATTTCTCTAACATTAAAAAAATAATAATTATATATAAAATCTATTGCATCAATCAATTTTATTAATAGGAATTAATAATTTGAAGAATGTCATATTAGCTGAAATACATTTTATATTATTGTTTTAATTCCTTACCTCGGCGTAAGGATTGGGGCAATCGGTGCATGAACGACCGATCACCCCAGTCCGACAGCGACATTGACCAGTTTCGCTGTCACAGCGAGGCCCAAAGCTACCAGTTGCATAACATTCGCACGGTATACACTCCTTCCGTCCGTTTGGCTGATAATGATTCTCCTTGCAATGGCATTCGCCGGTAGTCTTATTGCAAGCAGGATCATAGCCTTTATTTTCATCGCAGTGGCAAGGTCCACAAATTGGAGAACCCCACCATGTCGCTGGACACGGTTGCTCGCCCTTTATCTCACAGTAATCTCCAGATATATCGGCAGAATCGCATTCACATCGATAACCGCGCCGTGCCTCGATCACGTCTTCGATACAAGTACCGGCATCGTTGCAGGGTTCAAGATCGCAGACACGTTCGCAGTCACGACCGACACGACCAGCCGCGCACACACATTCGCTCGACCGCCATCGTGCAACGCAGAGTGAGGCTTGCGGACATTCTGACGTGCATTGAGTCTCGGAAGGGCAACCAGCATCAACGTTCTCTTGGACGGTCGGTCGCTGAAGAACGCTTTGATTTGTACCAATTCGTACATCTTGTAAGCAGCCGTCGAAAGACGGTAGATCAATGTTGATCGCTTGATCTGGACCACCTACGAGGATTCTGCCGACATACAGGCCCTGCAATTTGGCTGGTAACGGCACAGTCACAGGCCGATCGCGATAATCCGTGTCTAGAGATACATGACCGCTCTGCCAGACGATTTCCACGCGATGCCACTCGCCGTCTGCAACAGTACCTCCAGTTCGGATTACGTCAGCACCGTCCAGTGAGACAACTAGCTTGCCCTCTCGAATCTCTAACAAGACCGAGCTATTCTGGCCTATCTGCACGCTCATGACAAATGCCTGTTGTGTGCGGGTTCGAAGACTCAGCGCCGTCGTCCATGGCAGCTGGATAGGTCGCAGTAATGGATTGAAGCCGAGCATGCCGTCGCCGTGGAAACCGTACGGTGCGCCAATTTCTTCGGCACAGGTAGGACCAGCGAAGCTGTGTTCGCACTCGCATACAAAACCTGACCAGATCTCGCGACATTTGCCATCGTTTCTGCAAGGCGAAGAGGCACAAAAGGCAGCTTTTTCGGGGCAACCGGCGTTCGTTCCATTGTCAGCCACAAAAGAATTCAAGTCAACGAAAATATGGTCGATGTAGAGATCACTGATGCATCCGACATAATCTTTATTTCGAATCTGAAAGCTGGATGGGATTGCTGGCAAACCGCCCAACTGCAACGGTCCGGTTAAATCCAGAAATCTGTGACAGGTCTCGGTAACGAGTCCGCAACGTTCCTCAAGGACCCTCTCATTCCTGTCGGCACAAGCCCATCTCGGACCTAGTCTCTCTCCGTGCTTTAGAGCGAGTGCGACGTCGCAGTCGTCCAGAGACACCGTCACCGTCCGATTGATATACGAGACCACAACTTCGTGCCATCGACCGTCCGAGACACCGCCGGGAATACTCGCCGTTGCTCTCGTCACTTCGTCACCGAGAGAAAAGCTGAATTGTACGCGCGAATCTATGATCTCCAAGGCAATGAAGTCATGACGTTCGTTATATCTGCCGTTGTAGAGTAACAGGCCATCGGCTAGCTCAGTGGCAAATTTTAGCCTGAGATGAAGACGATGACGTTGCCTGAGTGAAGCAAAGGTAAGAAATGTTGCCGGACCGAAACTACGCGCCCTCAGCTCACAGAGAGGTGTTACACTCTCCAGAGCGGATACGGGGCAACCCTCGCAAGTGAAACCGCCGGTGTTCTTTACGGCACATTGAGAGCCACCCTTACAGATGCCAGGCCAGCAGGTATCGCCGTACAATGAAATCTCGCAGTTCATGCCGGTGAAATCCGGTCGGCAGGTGCACGAGTATCCGCCCTCTCGTCTGTGGCAGGTACCGCCGTTAACGCAGGGATTCGAATAACACAGATTCACCTCGGTGTCGCACATGTAAGCCTCACGACTGCCGGTGAAGCCGCGAGCGCATCTGCATGCGAACGTAGTCACCGGATAGATTGGCCGGAAAAGAACCGTATCACTGCTGGCGAAACCGGACGCGTTACCAAACTTGAGCACTGTCAGACACTCTTCGAAATTTAAGCAGGGCTCGCGGACGCAGAGATTATCGTCGAAAGGCAGAACGGTGACGGTCGACAATCTCGCCAAGATACCACGATTGAGATATACCCGTTCCTGAAGAAACTGCGGACTGTAGAATTCGTCGACCGTACCTGGCTCGACTCTGCGTGCCGAGAAACTCACATTTAGGATTTTGCCGTGCACGTTCGCGTCTTCCTGAACGCTAAAGAGAAAGATGTTCTCGCGTGGACACGGAACGATGGCTGCTAGGCCGTCTAGAAAATAACCCAGAAGAGGACTGAGAAATGCCTCCACCGTCATGTCGTCCAATCTCACAGTGATCGAATTTAATAACATTTCGTCAGTGATTAGACGCACCGATAATGTCATTGTAGCCTTCGCCTCATTGATGCCGTCCGTCACGGCGACCTCCATGGTTGCTACTCGCGGTACGTTAGTATTGAGTTGCGGCGACAACCGGATCTCACCGGTAGTTTTATTGAGCTCGATCAGATTCGCGTTGTTGCCGGCGAGGATACTGTAGACGAGATTGTCCGTCACATCGGCGTCTACCGCCGGTATCCGGCCGATCGGCGCGGTTGGGAAGAAATCTTTGAAGTTGTTGAAGATTATTTGAAAGTCCTTGAGCACTGGCGCATTGTCGTTCACGTCGGTTACTAGAATCTGTACCATCGCGTCTGAGCGTAGCGGCGGAGACGCGGCTCGTATCACGAGTTCAAACTTCTTCTTTGGTGATTCGTAATCAAGTTCCTCTTGAGTGATCAACTCGGCACGATCGGCGCCCTGGTGAATGCGCAGAGAGAAACTGTTGGAATCCTCGCCACCGATGATGCTGTACTGCACTTGTGCATTAGGACCCTCGTCTGGATCGTGAGCATAAATTTCACCGACAGTCGAGCCAATCGGTGAATTTTCAGCGATGTATAAAATAATCTTATCGTTTTCAAAAGCGGGCGGCGAATCATTGATGTCTTCGATTTTGACGGTGACAGGAACAACGGATGAGAGTGCAGGTGAGCCGCGATCTATGGCGACGGCTTTCAAAATGTAACGTGCTACCGATTCTCTGTCGAGCGGTTTCGCAGTTCTAATGATGCCTGTCGTGGAATCAATCGCAAACGCGCCATCGCCATCATCCTCTAAAGCGTATCTCACCTAGATCAATCAATATCATAAGTTTATTAGATAAGCAATAAAAATATTAGATAAGCAATTATCAAATTTTTATTATCATTTTAAAAAAGATCAATGTGAAAATATGATTAACTAAATAATTTTACAGTGATTACAGTGATTACCTATTTATTTATATAAACAATTATATTTTTCATTTATAAAATTATGCAGTGTTGACTTTCATAAAGAAGCTTACCCGGCCATTGAGATCGGTATCTGCATCAGTTGCTGCAACTCTTAGCACGCTGGTTCCCACTAAAACATCCTCAGGAATTGAGCCCTGATATTGCGGCGCTTCGAAAATTGGTGCGTTGTCGTTCACATCTGTGACGGAGATCTCTACATCGGTGGTATCCGACAACGGCGGTATCCCACCATCCCGAGCAGTCACCGTCAACAAATACGAGGGTACTAGTTCACGATCGAGCGCTTTAGTTGTCGTGATCGCACCGGTCTGTGAATTGATGGTAAATTCGGTGACCACTTGCTCGCCGCTGTCCGTCGCCAGGCTGTATGTGATCTGAGCGTTCTTGCCGACGTCAGAATCGGTGGCACTCACCACCAGGACGGTCACGCCGATCGGCGCGTCCTCGAATACCGAGACCGAGTACGGTGCGTTCTCGAATACCGGAGAATAGTTATTGGCATCCGACACATTGACATAGACTAGAGCGGTGTCAGTGCGGCCGCCGCTATCTGACGCCGTCACCGTCAGTACAAACCGTTTCTCCTGCTTATAGTCAAGTGGCTGAGCGACGGTGATGAGACCGCAGCCGTTTTGCGACGCGATGGAAAAGCGTCCGCGCGTGTTGCCGCCTGTAATCTCGTAGTGAATCCTAGCGTCCTCATCCGGATCGGTGGCAGTCACCGAGGCAACCGGAGTACCAGGCGGATCGTCCTCGGATATCACGGTCTCGTAATTTTTTGGTTCAAAATAAGGATCGTTGTCGTTCACATCGGTCACCGTGAGAATTACAGTTGCACTCGCAGATTTTGGTTCGTCACCGGAATCCGCTGCGATCACAGTAAATTGGTATCTGAAATTGAAACGAGACTTTCTCGTCAAGAATTTCCTAAAGAATCTATCAGTAAAATTTAGTGCATAAAAATTGGTTACTATATACACTTTTTACTTTCAACTATTAATTTTAAATACAAATTTTTACGTGCATTAGTTTGCATTGCAGTTATTCTAATTTTAATTAATTGACGATTTAATAATTGATAAAAAAAAGATTAATACCTTGAACATTGTTCGCGATCTAATTGCTTCGTCGTGTAGATCCAACCGGTCTCCGCATTAACAGTAATGGGAAAATTTTCTGTGGAGGCGCCGGTGAAATCGCGTGCGCCGATGGTATATTTGATAAGCGCGTTGTTACCCTCGTCGGCATCGTACGCCTGTACCCGCAGCACCGAGTATCCTAATGGTACGTTTTCTGACACCGATTCTTGAAAATGGCTAGTATAGAATCGTGGTGCGTTGTCATTCACATCCCTGACCATCACCAAAAGCTGGGTAGTATTAGAACGGCCAGGGGAGCCACCGTCCTGAGCGCGTATGACGATCTTGTAACTTCTGGTGGATTCGTAATCGAGCGGCTTGACGAGAGCAACGTCGCCACTCATCGAGTCGATCGAGAAAGTGTTTTGCGTGTTGCCGCCGATGATCGCGTAGCGAATAGCCGCGTTAGCGCCGGCATCCGCGTCCGTTGCTCTGATACGCGCCACTACTGGATTCGTTGTGTAATCCAGATCTTCCGGTACAGCCGCTGAATACGTGCGCTCGGTGAACTGTGGATAATTGTCGTTATCGTCCAGCACACGTACTACTAATGTTGCGTTCGCGCTACGTCGAGCCGAGGGTGGTGTCGCTTGATCGGTAACGCTAAGCACCACCGTGTAGATCTCGGTATGTTCGCGGTCAAGTGCGGTTCGCGTGGTCACCACGCCGGATCTGAAATCGTCAAGATATAATATATAAATTGATATAAAGATTGTATAAAATTTTATTTAATTAAAATTGATCTTGTGAAAGATTTTATTATAAAATTCTATAAACCAGAGAAATTAAGCCAAGAAGAAAGGAAAGAATATTAATATAGTTTATTTGTGTTACTATTAGCATAAAAGAAAAAGATATTCTAATTCACATTAAATAATGAAAAACAAGAATAAATTTATAAAAAAAAACTTAAGAATTTGCTATTAAGGAAAGAAATTTATTCTAGAAATATTCTTGAATATTTCTGACCTGGGGTCGATTCTAAAGGTTGCTCCGTCCTCTGTGTACGTGGTACTCGTCATAGTGGAAATAATAGAGTACTCGACTTCGGCATTTCTTCCTGTATCTTGATCCGTGGCCTTAACCGTAACCACTGTGGAACCCACAGGAACACCCTCACGTACCGACGCATCGTATTCCGGCCACTCAAAACTGGGCGCATGGTCGTTTGCATCCAACACATTAACTTGAAGAGTCGTAGTGCCTGTGCGTGGGGGAAACGAGTCGTCCACCGCCAACACCTAGTCAGCAAATAATTCGTATTTTCAATTTTAAAAATCTCTACATTTTTAATATTTTTTTAGAAAGAGAAGAGTAGATATGGATTTTTTTTATTGTGTAAATGTATTCTTATTGTTAAAGTATTCTAGGTATTCCTTACTAAATAATTTCATTTTTTTATTTCGGGTTTCGAGTTTAATACGTACTCGAAAATAATGCACGTCGACGTTTTCTCTATCCAATCTAGCACGTGTTGTCACTCTTCCGGTCACTGGATCGAGAGCCAATAATGCCTGCGATCTCGCATCTATCAGCGAACTCATGGAGTACCGTACGGCACCGTTCTCGGGATCTCTAGCTCTCACCGAAGTCACGTACATCCCCGGATCCTTTTCTTCTTCCACCGCGGCGACGTAGAGCGGCTGTTCAAAGTACGGCGACTGGTTCTTGAGTTCTCGTCTCACCCTCCTACCTAGATCGGTATCATCCAACTGACGGTGATGGAATACGATCTTCAGCCGATGTTCGGCATCAGTTAAACGCGAGTCGCCGGTGCAACGTAGGTTCATGCTGACCGAGACCTTCCACAACGGATCGACCAAGCATTGTTCGGTGGCGGAAACCAAGTCCCCAGCGGCACCCTCCACAAGGAACCTGGGGTCCGCCACCCCACCCCATCTCGTTTCACACTCTTTCAATGCTGTCTGCGGTAGAAAATCGCGGAGGGCTGCCACTAATTGAGACGTCCGCAGACACACCTCGGTGAACCTATGGATATAATTGGAGCTTCGATTATAAATTTTAGATGAAGCTTCGAGTATTCTATCCAATACTTTTTTTTTATCGTATATTATATCGAAGAATACAAAATTTCTATCAAAAAAGAAATTTTTGTTATTTTTCATATTATCTTCATTCAAAAGTTGACTAGATAAAATAATGATTGCACTTGATGAATTAGATAGATTGATTTTTCTATTATTTAGAAAATTTACTTCATCGCCGCATTTATACTTTGTCAAACAAACTAGCTTTCGATATTACAAGTCATTAACTTAACTTAATTGGCATCACTTTCATCTCTTTATTACTTTCATCTTAATATCTTTATCTAAATCCGGTTCCAACCTGTCTGTGCTAGGCATCGCATAAGAAGCCAGAGTTTCCGCCATCCAGCCCCTGGTGGCTGCCAGATCACGATTTTCTCCGCCACATCCAGTAATCAAGATCCTTAGTGGTAAACTGTAGTAATCGATGGTGGGTCTACCGAGACGAGAGCTCGTCGAGTCGACGTAGAAGGTGAAGACGCGTGGATATTGAAGGCCATCGCAGCTGAGCGTTCTCGCCAGGGTCACGCGACCTGTATGCGGATGGACCTTGAGGAGCTTTCGGGCAAACCAGGCGGTGCGCTCGCCGGACGCCTCGTACTTGCGACGACCGCCCAATTGCGGCACCCCGGCCTCGAAGACGACGGTGCCGATGGGCGTGTTGGACGGCAGCACTGCCAGATATCCGTCGCCCAGAGTCCAGAAGGTCGCCAGGAGCAGGAGCACCCATCTCCACTTCGCCATGGCAACATACACTTAATCCGCGCGATCCTGCGGTCTGTGCTGTTCTCTTCCTGACGAGCGTCCCATCATCACCTGTCGTCGCGATTCTTTAACGCGCCGACGATACGCCGGGAGTCACCTGGAGGAAGATACATCAATGTCGAATTTTTTGTCGAGGAAAGATCCGCGCGCATCGTTGCAATTATGATTATTGGAATATGTGCTGTATAATACGTATGTATATGTATTAATATGAATATGATGTTAGTTTGAATATGATACTAGTTGCTAAAATAACTCATTTTTATCAGAATAATAAAGTAATTTCTATCATTTTATTATTAAAATAAACGGAAAAAGGCAACTCGTTTGCTTTTTTCCAAGTAATTACTTTGAAGCAATTTGCTCGGTAAAATATCAGGATCAAGAAAAGCGAAAGATGATAGTAGTAATCACGGAGGACAACATCGCGACTGAAGGCAGTCTCGTGTAGACTTTTTCTCGTCCTGTGTACGCAGCCTTTAACTCGATCTGGAAGACGGGTCGCGCGGATAAGGACGAGTCGCGGCGTGTATAAGGACGTGAGGATGGCAGGCTTGTTCTTACGCCTTATTTCGCTTTAGCGAATTTAATCGCTCTCTCGGCCACGGCAAAGTACCATAATTGCCAGTACGGTGGTTTTCGAGGTGCACACGTTTCCCCCTCGCGAGAGGCGACCTTCCCTCGTGCAAAACGTGGGAAACGAACTGCTTCCGGTCGTGCCCTCGCAGCGAGGTACCCCGAAGATACCGGCCTTTCGTCGTACCGTACGAGATTTGCGTCGACCTCTCACATTACGTGCATGCTCACATCGCGTATCGCGTTTTAATTCGATCGGCCGCAGATCGAGCCGCCGTTTCTCAAGCGCGTGTCCTTTTTCACGCTCGACTTCGGCGCGCGAGAAAGTCGATCTCGAGCACTGGAAACTCGCGTCTACCGAGACGATCTTCATCTGGCGAAGGAGCACGTAAAAATTTCTCTGATTATAATATGCGAGAGAGCGCGTTTTTGAGCCTTAGTTAGCTCGGCTTAATTAATTCAGCTGAAGTAATTAATTTCATTATGTCATTATATATTTCTTATTAACAATTTATGTTACGATTAGAAATTAATAATCTTATATATGAGTAATATGTTTATAGGACAATGAAAGTTTGACGTACGAGTTTGAGTACTTTTTTAAATGGGTATCCTTGACATCTAAACTTTAAGGAACAATGGCAAGTAATCTAATATCCAGGAATGCGACATCCGCTGTCACGCTCGGAAGAGCGGAAGACCGCGATCTTTATCTTGAGTTCATCGTAAACCTCGTTGCACATCTGTCTGCTTATGCAGCACATACTCTGTCTTTCATACAAGTCAAAATATACTGTTTCTTTTTATATTAAATGATGTATAATAGAATTTGCAAGTCAACATACCAAAGAAGAACAGATAATCATCTACATCTCTTTGATGAAAATATCAGTCGCTTTCTTTAATTATAGCTGTCAGAGTAATTATAGGTTGTCCGAAGGAAAAGAATTGTCTTTACATTATTGCGGTAATTCTTCTTACTCTCACACAAGAATAATCTAATATCTTTATCACAAGGCATATATTGTATATATTAATATAATATTATCAACTTTCTCTTGTAAATTGTTTATAATCGAAAATTACAGCAAAAAGATTACATGAATACATTATGTTTCTAATAAAATCTCGATAAACGAAAAGAAAAGAAAAGAAAATAATATTAAACCGCATGGTGCATAATCTGGGACAATTTCCAGATTAAAATACATATATGCGGCGAATTTGTGAAATAAATTCCTTCGTTCACATTCGCATCACTTATCTCTTTTGGTGTTCGTTGCTGATAAAACTGAATCCCACTTGTGTATTGAAAGTGCATAATGCAGTCCGATATCAAGTGCATAAGTCGCAGGACTTGAGGAGGACTTCGGAATAACGTTCGATTACTTTGCTTGTTTGGTTGTATCTGTATAGATAGCAGGGAATTCAATTTAAGACCTCGAAAGACGAGCCGTTCGATTCCAGAGCGTGTACTTTTTAAAAAAGTAATTGTAAAATCCTGACTATGCGCTATTTAATAATAAAACGATAGCGAGCGCATCGATAGAAACGTGGAAACAAAACGTTGAAGAATCGACACGAACAAAATCGTGACAGAATCGAACGAGTGGAAAGGTTCGAGAGAAAAGGATGGGAATGTAATGCCGTTAGATTTTTTTATGGGCGATGTTAAAGTTTTAAGATATCTCAATCTTCTGAAGCACGTTTGACGTAAGATTTCCAAACGAAGAGAGAAGAACCTGACTGTTCTTTGTATAATAAACATAGTTGATTCACATGTACACGAGTGTCTCGAGACCGATCATCTCCGTTTCTTGAGCAACGACTTCTGTAACAAGTATCCACAAACCGCATCTTGTTCGAACTGATTTGCTGCTGTCGGTACCGATGTTAACGCGATGACTTTTTAAGCGTGTCGCGAAGGAAGAACGACGATTCCTCGGTTAATCGATTATGTATAGAAAATTTTTAAACTCCGTATAATGTAT